TTTCTACTGCTGCTACTGTTGATGAATTATCTACTTCATTTTTGTCACTGTAGATGCAGCATAGTAGATTTAGTTTGGATCACCTCTTTGGTATCACCACTGAAGATTAAGAGAATCAGATCAGGAGATGTGATATAGCAGGATAAAGCAGCCATGCAGAACATTTGCTCTTTATTATCACTCTAACTTCTTTCTTTCAAAGAGACTTGTAACATTGTGACAGAATGTGAAAATTTTGATGCAATAAATAAATGTTGGACCTTTTTGCAATCTTTCTGATTGTCCTAAATGTTTTGCTAGCAGGCATGAGTATACTTCAGGGGAAAGAGAACATTTTTTCCGACTGTAAAAAGAAATTCTGGAATACATATAAGGTGAGGCAAATAGTTGATTAATCTCCCTGTTAAGCAAAACAATTAATGTTATTGAATGCTACAGTTAAATCAAAATAGGATGCTAGCTTCCAACATTGTTTGTGTTTTAATTCTGCTTCCTCTCAATTCTTTTGTTTTGGGATTCTGTGCAGGGGGCTCCATGCAAAGCTGCAGTAACACTGAATTATAGGTAACCAGGTACCGCTACCATCTCCAGTTGGGCAAACTGATTCCATCCTTAAATTGTACAGCATATGTGTTTACAAATGCATCTGAATCCGTGTCAATTACAGTATCCACAATGTAATAAAGACAATTATACTCAAGAGCTGTAATACCATTTATCTTGAGAAATAACCACCAATAAATAGTTAGATGTACAGTTGGCACCACTTTCTTGAACACCTGTTAATAACATTACTTACGAAGACATCTTTTTTAGTTATCAGTTTCACCCTGTACTTTTCACTGACAGTTTTCCCTTCTTTTAAGAACACTTTTAAGACTACTGATGTCCAATTTTAGCTCATTTCTCTATGTTTTTCAAAATGGTAGATAGGTGACACTAACAAGTGTGGGTTCAAGCCAGCACAAATCCTAAAACTGAGCAAATCAGGGACTTTCAAGATTTTTCAGGCTTTGGAAGAAAAATATATCATGAGAAAAAAATTAGCAGGATAAACATTGCAACAAAGTCAGCATTTCACTTCTTATCATGGAACTATTGCACTATGAGGATAAAAGGGCATTTTTGTCACCCTGGAGGGTGTTCTTATAACCACAGTGCCCACTATATCTTTGTAAGAACATTTGGTTTAACAGTGTCCTTCTACTGATCTTGCTTACTCTGAGTAAATTAATTAATCAGTTCAGCTCTAAGAAAGGGGTTTACAGTATATGAGCAAGTAGAAGGAGCGTTGCAAGTGTGAAATAAATATAAAGTTCAGTGGTATTTTTCATTCACAGCTGAAATAAACATTCACTCATTTAAACATTTGTTCAACCATCTGGTAAATGTGCTTACATATCAGGGATCACATGATTTTGAAGTTCGCATTGTTAGATTTTTGTATATAAACCGAGGCAGAATAATCTCTTAGACATTCTTAGGGTAGCAGCTGATGGGGGTTATTTGCAGTTCTAATATTGCCACCTCTTATTTGAACCACCTAATTTGAAACTGAACACCTTTTATTAACTTTGTTGAGGTATTTCATAGTCCTTGTTAAATACTGTCAATAAAAAGGAATACTTGAAATAAATCATTGTAACTGAAATACATAATAGTAATTAGTCCATCATTTTCATTTCAGACTGGGCTGTTGTACTGGCCTTTTGTGCAGGTGAGTTTCAAGTTAACATCAGTGCTAACTCAATAACCTTTTCTTAGCCATACAGTCCTATCCTACATTGTGCCCACCCAATGCTCCCATTGAAGTCAATGGAATTTTTGGGTGTGTAAGGAATGCAGGATCAGGTCCTAACAATTAACTCTCTCTCTTTCCAACACAGCTTTCAAACTTCGTTTTGGTCCCTGTTTACCTGAGAACAGCTTACACTGGGCTCTGTGGCTTTCTCTGGGCTATCTTCATTTGCTTTTCACAACAGAGCGGTGATGGCACAGCAAAGTCGGCTTTTCTGTGGTTCCAAAGAGAGAAGGTCAATGCAGATGGAGAACCATCAGAGAAATGAGAAAATTGTTTAATGGAGTTTTATTTTAAATGGTTAAACTGTGCTTATAAAGGGCAATGAATTGCACTGCCAGCTGATTGCTGTGTTTTAAAATGAATCTTCATCCCAGGGCTCAGTGGTCATTATATACAGTGCAATACTTTGGTTTTGCACCTGTTTGCACAGAAAAGAGGCCCATTGTATATTGCTGTTTAATTATTTCCATGCTGGCAGCTAGTCTCCTCTGGGGACTCTAGCCACTTGCTTGTCACAGTGCAGCAAGAGCATTTGCACAACATGGTAGCCAGCCTCATTGGGGAGAAATATTAACTGTAATTTAATTTTCAAGCAACTTCTGATTGCTAGAAAAGGGGGGAGGGTAGAACATTAAATCATCAGTGTTTATACTTGCCAGTTATTATGAGAGCAAGATTCCTTTTGCATTCACTGGAGTTTTCTCTGAATTGCAACCTATGGTACTGAATCTATATTTATTCTGAGAAAAAATTGTACTCTTTTTTTTATAGGAACCAATTATAACATTTTTAAACTCTTGCCTTAGCCTGCAGTGAGAATCTGTACAAAGAAAATAACTTAGCCTTGCAAAATTTACCAGTCTAAGCACAAAAGGAATTTGCTCACCCTCTACAATGATCAATGACAAGGAAAAATTAATGAATTTTGCAAGACTGATGTAGCTGTTGAATTGTTGTTGCTGTGTGTGTATTTAATATCCTCAAGATAATGAAGCAATTAAAAGATGGCTTTATTTATTCTGGTTAGTACTTTTAAAATCAACATTATATTTGGATATTTATACTCCTTTTCAGTAAGATTAATAGTGTATGTAGTATGGATGAATGTGTATGACAATACATAACACTCAAAAGCAAATTAGAAATAATGTGCTCAAATTAATGCTTTTTGTGATCATTCTATTACAGGTAATGCTTTTATTTTTATTTCTGCATGTGCCTTAAATGTATAGTGATGAACTGCATTCATTTAGAAGAAAGGAACTTGGGAGGAGTGCCACTGCAGGGAAAATAAGAGCTGACATTAGGGAAATTGACAAGGATTTCAAGAAAGAGTATACACAATCTCTATGTGATCTGCGGTAAGATGTGGAAAGCATTCCATTGGTGATCGTTTTTGAACTTTTACCAATAAATGTGACAGCTATCAGGATTGCAAATAATAAGAAATAAGGTTCAGTTTGATATGAGATTACTAATCCCTCCTACAGAGTTGAAAGACAACACCATCAGTTATTTTCTGTTCCCTGTTTCTTTACCTTGTCAGCATGCACAAAATGGAAAATGTTGTTAAGAATATAGTTCTTGGAGAAAAAGTGGTGACTGAGATATAGTGTTGCTTTGCTGTGTGCTGTAACAATATGCCATGTTCTACCCTTGAAGTAGATGCAGTTCGTCAGTGGATGAATTGATTGATATATAGTTATAATTGTTAGTAAAATTTGTAATGAGTGGAACACCCCTCTTTTATTTTTAAAGCTTTGAATGTTTATACAAGCTGTCCATTAGCGCTGTATACTTTTCTGATGCCAGTTATTCAGGAACTTGGCTTAAATAGGATTTTTGTCTGGGTAAGGACTTCAGGATTTATCTCCATGTTTCTTCTGTTTTCAGTATACAGAGAGGTAGTTCTTTGTTCCTTTGCTCTTTTGTGAAATCACACTGGAGCATGTAGTTCTCATGTTTCAGTGAATTTAAGAATCTAAGTAATCCTTTTACTCCCTCCATTTCTCTTGAAAAGTTGCTAAGGGCTACATAAGTAAACTAATCTCTCTTCCTGTTCTAAAACCTCTTTGTAACCACAAGCTTTGGCAGTTAGTAGGAGTGTTTCAGGGGCGGGAGATGCAAAACAATGTGGCTATCTTGGGCCAGATCCTCAGCTGGTGTAAATTGGCATAGCTCCTTTGAAGTTTTTGGAACTCTGTCAGTGTACACCATCTGAAGATCTGGCCCCTTACTTTTTGGAAATACTATAATTTCTTACCACTTTATAGATTAGGAGACTCTAATATGACTTTTCCTACATATGCAGGGCTAATGATTGGTGATACAGTATTTATCAACAAGAACATCTAAAATATCAAACCGTGGATCAGCAGCTGGGCAGGTTTGCCCTCATGCCTGTTTGGATGCATGTTTCATAGGTGGTCCCAGAGAGTCCACCTAAAGGAGCTGCAATAGACTTAATGCCAACTGAACACTACACAGAATTCACCAAAAAAGTATGGCTAGATATAAGAAGTCAAGGTGGTATTCAGCAAACGGAGGGAGCTCTCTGCCATCAGCTATCAGGCATGTATTCAGATGACACCTCCATTTCATGGGGTTGTTTCTAAGATCAAATGAGTAGAGAAGACAAATTCTGACCAGATGTGACAGCAACTTGGTTTTATTCAGTGTAGCTGTGTAGCTTATACAGGGTCTGAATTTGGCCAAATGAGAATTTGGAAGTCTGTTTTCCAATTACACTAATTAAAAAAAAATGTACTGCCCTAGATCATTTTGATATCTGAGTCACATTCTGCTAGGACTTCAGGTTAGTATCTAGAAAAAGCCCAGAAGAAGGTCTGAGTTTTTCCTGCCCTGGAAAGCAGCAGCCACTGACATTGTCTAGAACCTTAGGTTTCACAGTATGGTGCATGAGAAGCTGCTTGGCTCAAATATGTACCATGCTGATGGGCACCATCTAAGTATGTACAGCATATTAATAATAATATTGATGCCACATTTGCAACCTAGAAAGCTTCTGCCTTCCCGTTCTCTGCTGGTATAGCCAATGCTCGCTTTATGGCAATGGGAAAAGGGGTACAAGGAATATACATATATTAGGGTGGGAAACATCCATTTTAATTTTACTTGGAAAATGGTTGTATTTTTGCAGAGAATCAGTAAACAGTAAAAGTCATTATTTGGCCGTGGCTATCTTTAATGGTTTGTGTATAAACCCATGTTTTTGTGTATAAACCCATGGGATCTTCGTGGACCACAAGCGGTGAAGACCTTAGTTTTATGTCACACCCAGAAGATGGCACCTCCTACTGCAAGGTCCTTATCACAAGGATTATTAACCCCATTTTACAGGTGGGGAAATTGAGTCTCAGAGAAGATTAATGACATACTGAGGGTCATTCAGCAACTCAGGGGCAGAGCCAAGAACAGAATCCAGAACTCCTGCCTTCAAAGCCTTATGCTATAGCCACTGGACTCTACTCCCTCTCAGATTAGAAGAAAATAGAAATCTGGGATTATTATTGTATTAAATAATAAGTAATTAATATATTTCCAGAAGCAAGCATGGACATCCGTGAGGAAAGAAAGGCATAAAATGAAAGCTTCAATAGATGTGTAAAATCAACATGGAAAGGCTAGTGGTGGTGTGTTAGAGACTGCTAAATTTAATCATTTATTTGTGAAATTCTTGAAGAGGAAGCTGTCCAATGGATTTGAGGCAGTCTGAAGTAAACAACATGTAGTACAATGGACAACAATTTAAACTACTTATGCAAATGCCTGTGGGTTTAGAATTGGTTGTAATCTCTCAAGAGAAAGATCTATGGGTCATTGTGAACAGCTCAATGAAGATGCTTGCTCAATCCATACCAGTGATTAAAAAAGCAAATGAGACAATGGATTATATTAGGACAGGGACAGAAAAAGTTTTATTTCTGTGAACCCATTCAAAGTAGTAGATATTTTATATTATTTTGATATTTATAAAGGAATACATTGGAAACATACAGTGGAAACATTTGGTGCTTCCCTGAATGGAAATGAGTTTTGCAAATAAAACCAAATCTGCAAATTTTATAACATGAGGCAGAGCAACTTTCACAAAAAAGAGGTGCTGGAATCTTCCTGTATTTGGAGATGTTTGTTTCGGTGCTTCATAATAATACATTAACCCTTTTCCCTACTGGTTCTATAAGTCATTTGCTGCACTATCATCACTCCATTGATGTCAGTGTAGTATTGGAGGTGCCTGGCAGATAGAGCAGCAAAGGAAGTGTATTTCACGCCCCAGACCTGTAATACAATATGTACAGATTAGCATCAGTCAAAAAGTTCATGTGTTAGTTTTTAAGATATACTATGCACAGTTCATAAAGTAGGTGAGTGCTACTTGTGCTAAAATGTGTGTGGAATTCAAGCAGGAAAAGAGAATGCAGTGAAATAGCATGGGATGCTTGGCATTTTATTAAACTGTTTATCCATCCTTCTCATGCAAATTGCATTTCTTTCTTGAAATGTACATCATAGGGCTGCTGTTGAAGAAAACAAAAAGGATGATTATTATTATTTAGAGGTACACATTATAAACAGATTTGTGGAATACAGTGGTCTCCTGTTCCACTTGCCTTTCACTGTTCTGGCTTTGAAAACCAGGAAGAAAGGCAGCTTAATCAGCTAGTTGGGGATTCCCCCATTGCAAGTGTATCTCCAAGTGGCACAGAGCTATGGTCCTGAGGCTTTTCTAAACTACGCTGTGGGCTGACCCCAGCTGGCCCCAGGTTTAGAGAAGAAGAAAGGTAGATTAAAGCCATCTTTGCTCATTCTCTCCTCAGCTGCACAGTGGGGGTTATGGCCCTGTAAATTTAGTTGCTTATTGTATTTTACTACAGATTAACAGTTGATACTGTAAATTATTTTTGTATATAAGCATTACAGAGATGTATCAGATGACCATGATAAGGGAATACAACAGAGGTAAAGTTGTGTATGTTACAGGTTAAAACAGAAGATGGAACTCTTTGGGACTTTAGATGTCTTTCTAGGGTGAAGAGAAAGTGGTGCAATCAGACTTAGGGAACTCCCTGCTGGAAATATATGGATTAGCAGCAGCTCTGGAGAAAATTCTTTCAGACTTTTCAGAGATTCAGTGATTCCAAGGCCAGGAGGGACCACTGTGATCATTTAGTCTGCCCTCCTGTATAACATGAGAACTTCCCCAAAATAATTCCTAGAGTAGTGGTTCTCAACCTGTGGTCCGCAGACCATGTCTAAGGGGTCAGTGAAAGACTAAGACTGAAAACTGACTGAACAGAATTCAATTATATATACAGACAATAGATTTCCAAAAGGTCCGCACCGCCGTTCAAAAATTTTTAGGGGTCCGCCAATGAAAAAAGGTGGAGAACCACTTTTAGAGCATATCTTTTAGAAAACATTCAATCTGGATATAAAAATTGCCTGTGATGGAGAATCCACCATGACCCTGAATAAATTGTTTCAATGGTTAATTACCCTCAGTGTTAAAAATGTATAACTTATTTGACTTATGGTGAGAGAAATCAAGAGTCTCAAATGAAGACAAAAACCAAGAGAGAAAACTTATTGCATTTCTCCATACTGAAAATGGGTCAACAATGTACAAGAGATCAGTATGAGAGGCTGTATCAAATACACTGGAGTCTTTTTTTAGTGAACTCACATATAGTGAAAACACCTTTCTAAGGAAGCACAATGGAAGACCAAAATGGCCTCCCATTGTAATGTGCAAATTCCAGTTCTGGTTCTAGTGAACCTCTACTCAGAATGAAGTTGGTTCAGTGAGAAATAGTTTCAATATAAGAGGGCCCCACTGTAGTAAGTGTTTGTAAAATGAAGTGATTACAGTGTAACACCAGTGTCTAAGGAAAAAGCCAGATTTACCTACAGTGTATAATGTGTGGAAATATCATGAAGCTAGAATGACAAATGTGAGAATTGGAACAGTGTTAGCGACATAATTACATTGGAACTTCCATATAATAATTCTTTGCATTTATTTCTACAGCATTTTTTCATCTGAGCTGCTCAAAGCCTTTTACGAATGTTCAGGGGGGAAATCCTCTTCTTAGCACCCACCCAGAGTAACTGGGCTGGGGACTGATGATCTTTGAGGGAGCAGAGATAAGTAATCCTCTCCCAGAGAACCTGCCCCGAGGCCCACTTCCCAGTCTCAGGAACAGAGAAGTCCCCGCAGCTCTTGCAGCCCACTCCATATGTGTGTGGAGGCAGGGGAAGGATTTGGTCAGTGACCCAGTCATCCTGTACCCAAGAAGCTGAGCACAGAAACACAGCCAGTCTACGTTGAACAGGGATATGACACACACAGTTTCCAACCCACATGAACTTCCAAAACCTGTACACACAGCACAACTACAGGGTTCAACAGCATCTGACACTCTTCCGCCTGTGGAGAGATGGCAGCTTTTGCCCTGAATTAGTTAACCCTCCTAATGCCCTTTTCTGACTAGTTGATGGCTGGGGAAACTGAGGCACAAATGATTTCCCCATGGTCATACAGTGAGCGGATGGTAGAGGACACTCATTCCCTGACTCCTATTCCTGAGCTTTTATCAGAAGACCAGCTTTCCCCCCACTGCACCTGTGTTAGTGATGCCACAGGCTTTTTAGGTGGAGCTTTCTTCCCCTTACTTTCACGTTTTCCACTAGTGCATGGCTTATGTAACATCTTCAGTCTTTCTCTCACCCTCGTTGAGTGGCTGAGATTGGGGAATCTACCTTTCTGGCATTCCTCTACTGCTTGTGGTGTTCTCATCTCACCATTACTTTAACAGCCCAATCCTACAGCCATAGCTCAGGCAAAACTGCCATATAATTCAATATGTGTGGTTTGTCTGTATTAGGATTGCACGCTCAGGCCCTTGACATAGTCTTGGTAATGATGGGGTTTGATATCTCACTCTTTGAAATAAGCACCACATTTACGTATCTAATAAAATATGCTCAGCTGCTTCCATTTCATGCATCACATACTTTTATTTTCACGTCCAAAGCACAACAAGATTATTAGTTGTACCTGAGCTGCTATAGTAGGCCAGTGACATTGATTGAAGGACTTTACGTTAATTACATGCTCAATTGATAACGGTCACAATACATAGTGATGAGAGACTAGTAGAGTGTAGTAATTACATCTGATGTTATGTGGGAGTACTTGTACTGTTCCAGTGCAATATTTCTCTTGTTCTGTAAGTAGGATTCTGAAAATTCAATGGGACATAGGCTCCTCAGTCACTTGGAGATGAATTTTTAAATGTATTTAGGCACTTAAAGATGCAGATAGACACTTAGTGGGATTTTCAAAAGCTCCTAGCCCCAACTCCCACTGAGAGCTCAGTCCTGCACAACTCCCAATGGGAGTTAGG